TTTTTAATTGGCATTCTCTTCGTATTTTCCTTTTCTTCTTACTATAGCAATGATAACAGTTGTGATAAAACGATGATGGTTATGATAACAATACTAATGATAATATTCGTAATGATAGTAAATGTATTAACAATATTGATGAAAATACATATAATAGCGATAATCGTAATAGCAATAACGACGATTATGTGGTAATATTAATGATAAAGAGGATAGTAATGATAATCGTAATAATGACAATAACAATATTATCGATATTATCCCTTTCGTTATTACATCTGTAATTCTTACCATTATTATCACTATCATTATCATTATAAATGTCATTCTCATCATTATCATTATTATGATCGTCATTATCGCTTTAACTGTTATTATCGTTGTTGTAATCATAGTTACTATCATTATCATTTTTATCACCATTGCTATTATTGTTAATGTTATTATTGTTTTAACCATCGCCATCATTGACATCATTACGATTGTATCATCGGTATTATGATTATTATAATTCTCATAATTTTTGCTGCTGCAATTATCATCATTAGGTTAATCATCATCATTTTGAATTAAAAACGACGTTGGCTTTTATGATATATTTCTTTTCGTTCTTATCTTCAAAGTTGCAATTTTTCTCAAGCATCAATGTCAATGATTATAGACCTATCTGAGTCTCCTAAATCTGTTGATGCTATGGGGAACAATTTAGTTTTGGAGATTGTCTCTATTATCTTTATTTCTATGTAGATTAGTAATATAACAATAATTATATCGATTTGATAAAACCATATCAGGTAAAACAAACGTTATAAAAAGCATAAATCAATAACTGACAGAAAGGAATAGATAGTTTGCCTGCTAGGAGGCTGGTATCAAGGGATCACTGCGCACACTTCCTCGGTAAACACACGGGATAGAAAGGTAAATACAGAATATGTGAAGAGGACAATTGGATGAATGGCGTGTTCTGTCGTTGTGGCTGATTGTGTAGGGAATATATACTACAGGATTGGTGGTATATCTTCTCAGACTTCTGAACCAAGTGAACCTCAAACTTGGGAAACGCACAAAAGATTTGGTCCTGATAATCGATTATATATATATATATATATATATATATATATATATATATAATATATATAATATATATATATATATAATATAAGGCCTTTTTCCGGTGCCAAGAGGTGTAGTACTACAGATTCCCATGACCGCCCCTATTTATGGGGGCGGAGTCATATATAAGCAACTGCACCTGGCTGATGAGCGCGCGGAGCACCTCTGCCCGTTCTAAAACTGGAAGAAAATGGAAAGTTCAAAGTTGATGCTGCACTGTATGGTGCAATATTAGTAACTTTGATGATGTTAATGAGGATATTATTGCATTAAGTACGTTTGAAAGTATTTACGCTCGCGCGCGCGTGTATATGTGTGTATATATGTGTGCATATATGCATATATATTATATTTATACATACAGAAATGTATATATACATACATACCTATATATATAGTATACACACACACATTATATTTAAACAATGCATACACACATGCATATATATATATATATATATATATATATATATATATATATATATATATATATATATATATATATATATATATATATATATATATATATATATATATATATATATATATATATATATATATATATATATATATATATATACACATATATGCATTTATATGTATATGTAATATATACATATATGCAGAAATATATTAAAAATATACACGACTACCATATATAATAATATAGAGTTTAAGGTTTATATGCTTTCGTATTAATTAATAGGGCTACAGCTAAGAAGAGCGAGGTTCAGATTTATCTTTCGTATGTGTACATTTTTATGCGATATGTCATGTAAGGCTTGTTACTGTTTTTCTTATATCATTTATGCTTTAATCTTGGCAATATTCAGGCCCAAAAGTGTTCCATGACGAATAATATACGGGGAAGTATCTCATGTTTTATTTACAGAATGTGTTCGAATGGTCAAAAGAATATTATGAAAATTTATATTAGGTTTTACATACTCATTTTACTTACTATGTATATATAATTGAATATGCTGACGTAAACTTATATATTATTTTGAATGTAGTTGATATCAATCAATAAATAGTGTCATTTTCAAAATATTTAAAGAAGTGTGACCTTCGAAACCATTGTCGATGGACGAATGAAGAAGCATGATGGGAGGCGCTTAGGGCCCGCGCATTTTCAACTGACTTCGATAGTTTTCCGTCTTTTGATTTGTAATTTGAAGATGTTCATAACTAACAACTTGTATTTATTGTTATTCCCGCATGTTACATCAGTAAACCAGTGATTTGTTAATTGAAACAATTCAAAAACAAAATCAGATTCGTCAACTCGAGTACAATTCCTAGGAATGGGGTTGGAGCCGCACTCGTGGCACAGCGTAGAAGCATCGGCAGTGTTGCTGTCGCGATCGGCCCGGAGAGGTGT